CATTACTACTATCATCTGTATCATTATTATTATCAATATTGTTATGCTTATTAATATTACAACTCTTTGTATTATTATTATTATTATTATTATTATTATTATTATTACTACTGTTGTTACTACTACTACTACAACTACTATTATTATTATTATTATTATCATTATTATCATCATTATTATTATTATTATCATTATTATTATTATTATTTTTATCATCATCATCATTATTATTTTTTTTTTATTATCATTATAAGTATTTTATTACTATTAGCATTTATGCTCTTCAATTCAATGTTTTATGTCCAAATTTACTGGCTGAGTAATAAAGAAAGAGGCTCATGTACTTAATAAATATTATGTAATTCAAATCTTGACCGGAAATGGCATATTGCATACAGAGAAGATAATCACGCCATTTTCTTTGATAGTAAAGAAAAATATATAAATGAAATACAAATTGGTTTTAAAATCTATAAAATTGGTAATTTTATTTTACAGAGAATAACTGTCAGTGAGCGTTTCTGTTGAATCAGTTTTATATGAATTAATTTTAGGGATTTTGTCTCGTAGAATATCGTTAGTTGCATATTTTTCTGGATTCAATTTGTGATACTGCACACTACCGCGCGGATTGGGTTGAAACGAAGACATGCGAGTATGTCATCGGTTTTCTGCCTATATCTATCTATTTATCTATACCTTGCTTGCATACTTGCTCTTCCTCCTTCTCCTTCCTTTACTACTTTTCCTCCTTCCTTCCTCATCTCTCCCTCCTTCCCTCCCTTTCTTCTCCATCTCTCTCTCCCTCCCCTCCCCCTCCCCTTATTCCCCATCTCTCCCTCCTTCCCTCCCCTCCCTCCTCCATTCTTCATTCTACATCTCTCCCTCCCCTCCCTCCCTCCCTTCATTCTCCATCTCTCCCTCCCCTTCCCCCCCTCCCTTCATTCTCCATCTCTCCCTCCCCTCCCTCCCTCCCTTCATTCTCCATCTCTCTCTCCTTCCCTCCCCCCCCCGCCTCCCTTCATTTTCCTTCTCTCCCTCCCCCCCTCCCTCCCTTCATTCTCCATCTCTTCCTCCTTCCCTCCCTCCATCCCTCCCTCCCTCCCTTCATTCCCCATCTCTCCCTCCCCTCCCTTCATTCTCCATCTCTCCCTCCCTCCCTTCCCTCCCCCCTCCCTTCAATCCCCATCTCTCCCTCCCTGCCTCCTCCATTCTTCATTCCCCATCTCTCCCTCCCCTCCCTCCCTCCCTTCTTTCTCCATCTTTCCCTCCCTCCCTCCTCCATTCTTCATTCCCCATCTCTCCCTCCCCTCCCTCCCTCCCTTCCTTCTCCATCTCTCCCTCCCTCCCTCCTCCATTCTTCATTCCCCATCTCTCCCTCCCCTCCCTCCCTCCCTTCATTCTCCATCTCTCCGTCCCTCCCTCCTCCATTCTTCCTTCTCCATCTCTCCCTCCCCTCCCTCCCTCCCTCCCTTCCCCATCTCTCCTTCCCTCCCTTCATTCTCCATCTCTCCCTCCCTCCCTTCCCTCCCTTCATTCCCCATCTCTCCTTCCCTCCCTTCCTTCTCCATCTCTCCCTCCCTCCCTCCCTCCCTTCCTTCATTCTACACCATCCTTGGTAACGTTTTCACCGCCATGAACCCCCACAGCCACAGTCAAAAGGCCGGAACAGTCTTCTCCAACGATCCCCTCATAGTTACCAATTGCCTATTTAGCAGCGGCTTTGTAGAGGGAAAGCAGCCAAGGTCAAAGGTGAACGAACGGAGGAATTTGGAGGAAAAGGGGGCGGGGCATGGAGGAGAGGATAAGGGGTGGGTACTGATAAGGGAAGAAGGAGAGGGGGTTCTGTACATTATCCCGTATGATTATGAAGATAAAACGTTGGCAAATGGATATAGATAGACATCGTGTGCAGTGTTTTTACTTATTCTACAGTCCAAGGGATTATTATGATAAACCTGTATTTCCCTTCAGTTAAACGTTTAGTCTATATTTCTTTAAATCTTTAAAGCTTTAACCTGCAGGATAAAAATGGAATACATCATGATGATTTTCCTGACTGTCAAAATCAACAGTCTTGGAAGAAAAATTTGGTCAAGTAATTAGAATCTCTTTATTCTTGGCTTCCTAGGAATGTTCACACAGGTATAAAATATGTCCATAACGACTCTTTACACACCAAGTGAAAAAGATAGGTTCAGTTACTTAAAGATAAATAGATATATAAGAATATACAGATAAATACCGATAGAAATACACGTTCAGATTTGTAATAACCCAACAGAAGACACCAAATAAGATCCTTCGAAAATACCCCAATGAAGGAAAAGTACAGAAGAAAACCATATCCAAAGGGACCTTTCTAACAATGCTTAGCCTGAAAGCATGTTTAGAAGCCGGCGTGAAAAGGAGGAATGTGATTGGTCAGTGCCGCAAGGTCATGGGATATGAACCCCGCCCCTTTCAAGCTAGCGCGGGCTCACTTATTTTCTCGCGAAAATACCATTTTTTCGTGTGTTTTTTTTTCCATGGTGTTTTGTTAAGTATTTTAATGTTCGGATTGATGTTTGAAACTTTTTTTTTAATGAGTGTACTACTTCTGAATTCAGATTTATTCCCTATCTTTGAATTTACTTATATCATTTTTATATAACAGTTGTAGTAATTCTACGGACATAGATTTGCAGCCTTGCTTATTATTTCCTTATAGTTACAATATGTACAAAATATTGTTTTTCCTAATCCGTAATCACTTGTTGTTAATATGCAAAATTGGATAGTTACTGGTTCAACATGCCAATTGTTATTAGATTTTTAAGGAATTTACTAAATTATTATGATCATAATAATTACAATTATTGTCTGTTGTTAAACGTCATTATCATAATTATATTCATCACAATATAATACACATCTATACATCATCATTATTCTCATTATTATTATTAGTATTGTTATTATCATTATTACTATTATTATTATTATTATCATTATTATCATTATTATTATTATTATATATGTGTGTGTATATATATATATATATGTATATATATATATATATATATATATATATATATATATATATACACATATGTGTGTATATATATATACATATATATACATATACCCTATATATATATATATATATATATATATATATATATATATATATATATATACATATATATACATATACCCTATATATATATATATATATATATATATATATATATATATATATATACATATATATATATATATATATATATATATATATATATATATATATGTATATACCCTATATATATATATATATATATATATATATATATATATATATATATATATATACATATATATATACCTATATATATATATATATATATATATATATATATATATATATATATATATACATATATATATATATATATATATATATACCCTATATATATATATATATATATATATATATATATATATATATATATATATATACATATATATATATAGGGTATGTGTATTATACATAATTATCAAAAATACACTTTTCGTCCAAATTAGTGAAGAAGTGCCCTTTAGAGCCAGTCACATGCCCCCTTTTCAGCTGAACCTCTGCCCTTTTACAATCCGTGCATGTCACCGCAGGTACATAAATGATCAGTTGGATAAAACAAGAAACCTTCAATCTCAATAAAGATAACACGAGTGTAATATGGTGTACCAAAAATAATTTTCTCGTGATATAGCAAAATTAAGGATATGGCCACTACTAAATTCATTAAGAATATATAATATAAATAACATAATAGGGGTCAATACATTTATGATCTCAAAATACTTCTATTATCAAATGCGAGGATTATAATCACAAGTAACTTATCAACAATACGAGAGAACATACTCTTTAACATCGATTATAATAATAGAATAATGGTAACAATAGCTTTAAAAGAAACCGAATTTAACAAACTCTCCTCTCCCCCCTTCACAGATCTTCAGCCGATGACGTAGGTGCTAAGTCGAAGTCAATATGTTGACCTTCACCTTGGCAAAAATTGTGGGCTTCATTCCCTTGGCGTTAATGCGTCTCCTGGTCCTGACGACGTTGAAGGAAGTCGGGAGGCATGACTACGATGCTTCGAAGCTCCTGATGCAGCATTATGATTTCGTCATTGGTAAGGAATTTGGAAGAGGAAGAGAATGAGTGAATGTAAATGAGAGGAGAGAGGATGATGGAGAAAGTTGGTGAGAAAAATATCGGTTAACTTGTAGGATTGATAATTTCAATGAATGAAAACGATTACACTATAGTTCCATATGGCAAGGTAATTGTTATATATAACAGTCTATCTATAACGGTCTGTTACCTATTTACCGGATTATGGTAATAATCAAAATGATAATGATACTGACGTGATAAAATATAAGTGCAATAACAATCAGTGCATGTTCGGCTGACAGGACCTATGATAATATCTATAAAATGCAAAAAAAAAAAAAAAAAAAAAAAATGTAATGATAGTATTAACACAAAAGCAACATCATCATCCTACCCTTCCCTTGTTCTTAACAGTCGGCGCAGGCTCGGCAGGGAGCGTGATGGCCGCCCGTCTCTCTGAAGTGGCAGGATGGAGGGTCCTGTTACTCGAAGCAGGGGGGACGCCGCCTCCGGAGAGCCACGTCCCGGCCTTCAACGGCGCTCTGTACCGAGGGGAGGCCGACTGGAATTTCATCACGACGCCGCAGCGATACTCGTCGGGCAGTTTTATCGATAATGTAAGAATGGAGAGACGCCTTGAGTTGTGAAGAATCAGAGATGTATTGTCAGTAATGTAAGAATGGAGACAGTTTGGTTGTGATAAATCTAAAGTTATATTGATAACGTAAGAATGGAGAGCGTTAGTTGTGACGAGTCTGAGATGCTTTACTGACCATGTAAGAAAGGAGACGGTTGGTTGTGGAAAATTTAAGATGTTATATCGATAATGCAAGAACGGAAGGAGTTGATCGCGGTGAATCTATGAAGTTTTAACGAGAGCGGAAGATTAAAGAGAGGTGCCATTCGTACAAATTACACTAACCAGCGTAGATAGATGTTACATTTGCAAGGTCCCCACGGTCAGCCATACGAGAATAGTCTTCGGTTTATTACTTCACTTCTATTAGATTATATATACTTGAAGCGATGAGACAGGTGAGACTTCAGAAGAGCTTATCTAAAGATGATTACAGGATTTTCCAGCAGTCGTAACCGTATTACTCAATCTAACACCATACCTGGCTGGGGATTTTTATAGATTGTACACAAAACGGAAATCTCCCATCTTATTACGAAAGAGTATTATATCTTTCCTGTTTTTAACTATCATAATGTTTAGACATGATAATTTATTTGGTGCTGTAGTTACCAAATCTACCTTTTAGAATTTTGGTGTTGGATTCATCAGCTGTAGCTTATAGTAGAAACTAATCAAGTACCAAATACTTTTCTCCCATTATGGGTTTCCAATACAGCTTCCTATTAATAATCTAAAACATGCAAGTAACTGTCAGATGTTAGCCAGTACAACACTATACAAAAAAGACGATAATGTAACAATGTCACTTTGCTTCAGTCCGAATAGGCTGTTACTCCCACTGCTTCCAAAAACAAGGTACGCAGATATCGATGTACCGGATACACCCTTACGTTAGGATATCCTGTGTTGTATTTTCCATTGAGGGTTGATACTATTTTCAGTCACTTATCAAAGGAAGAAGTATATCATTGGATTAGTTATAGGAGTCCTGATGGTTAATGAAAATGAACTGTTGAAATATCAAATGGATATTAAGTGATAACCGGATTATGCATTCGGTATTCAGAAACTAGGATTATCTCTCTGAAACGGTTACTAAAGGATTGTGTTTGTTTTTAGTATCATCACTCTTGGGTATAAGCCTAGGAAGGTTAAAATAGTTAGGTGTTCATTATAGCACAGCTTGTCTGATATGTCTGACTTCTCTCTCTCTCTCTCACGTACACGCACACACACACTCACACTCACACTCACACTCACACTCACACTCACACTCGCACTCATACTCACACTCATACTCACACTCACACTCACACTCACACTCACACTCACACTCACACTCACACTCACACTCACACTCACACTCACACTCACACTCACACTCACACTCACACTCACACTCACACTCACACTCACACTCACACTCACACTCACACTCACACTCACACTCACACTCACACTCACACTCACACTCACACTCACACTCACACTCACACTCACACTCACACTCACACTCACACTCACACTCACACTCACACTCACACTCACACTCACACTCACACTCACACTCACACTCACACTCACACTCACACTCACACTCACACTCACACTCACACTCACACTCACACTCACACTCACACTCACACTCACACTCACACTCACACTCACACTCACACTCACACTCACACTCACACTCACACTCACACTCACACTCACACTCACACTCACACTCACACTCACACTCACACTCACACTCACACTCACACTCACACTCACACTCACACTCACACTCACACTCACACTCACACTCACACTCACACTCACACTCACACTCACACTCACACTCACACTCACACTCACACTCACACTCACACTCACACTCACACTCACACTCACACTCACACTCACACTCACACTCACACTCACACTCACACTCACACTCACACTCACACTCACACTCACACTCACACTCACACTCACACTCACACTCACACTCACACTCACACTCACACTCACACTCACACTCACACTCACACTCACACTCACACTCACACTCACACTCACACTCACACTCACACTCACACTCACACTCACACTCACACTCACACTCACACTCACACTCACACTCACACTCACACTCACACTCACACTCACACTCACACTCACACTCACACTCACACTCACACTCACACTCACACTCACACTCACACTCACACTCACACTCACACTCACACTCACACTCACACTCACACTCACACTCACACTCACACTCACACTCACACTCACACTCACACTCACACTCACACTCACACTCACACTCACACTCACACTCACACTCACACTCACACTCACACTCACACTCACACTCACACTCACACTCACACTCACACTCACACTCACACTCACACTCACACTCACACTCACACTCACACTCACACTCACACTCACACTCACACTCACACTCACACTCACACTCACACTCACACTCACACTCACACTCACACTCACACTCACACTCACACTCACACTCACACTCACACTCACACTCACACTCACACTCACACTCACACTCACACTCACACTCACACTCACACTCACACTATCAATCACGTGGACACAACCAAGTTATCAATCACGTGGACACAACCAAATTATCAATCACGTGGACACAACCAAATTATCAATCACGTGGACACAA